TAATGTTTCTGGTACACCACAACTGAAAGGCATTGTGCTGATGGCAACATAATGTGGCAGAGAAAGTTCTACTGAGGAAAAAGTGGGATGCATTCATCCTATTAACCATCAAAAGGTCAAGAAATTGATGAGCATTCCATGCAAAATCATCGAACATGTCATCTACACCCGGATTATGGACTTCCTAGACTCAAATAACTTTTTCAATTCCGCGCAGCATGGCTTTCGTAAAGGTTTGTCGTGCGAGACTCAACTGGCTATGTTTTCGCACGACTTGAATATTAACTTGGATTCTAACGTACAGACTGATGCCATATTCCTGGACTTTGCGAAGGCATTCGATAAAGTACCACATAAACGCCTTCTGTTGAAACTTTCCCGCTTAAACCTACACCCCGACGTCCTAAAGTGGATCCGTGAATTTTTAAGTAACCGCACTCAAGCTGTCTTTGTTAACAATGCTACCTCTACTTCACTTCCGGTAACATCTGGTGTCCCGCAGGAGTCGGTTCTGGGCCCGATTTTATTCCTGATATTTATGAACGATCTCCCAACTCATTTATCCTGTAAAATCCGAATGTTTGCCGACGATTGTATTGTTTACCACACTGTTTGTAACGCTTCTGATCAATTAGCTCTACAGAGTGATCTTAACAATGTAAAACAATGGTGCGATGATTGGCTAATGGAACTTAACCCTCACAAATGCAAAGCCTTATCCTTCACCCGCCGCCGTTCTCCACTTGTTTTTCTATACTCCATCAGTAATATTCCAGTTGAAACTGTTAATTCTTTTAAATATCTGGGGGTCACACTCTGCAACGATCTTTCATGGGGTTTGCATATCACGAAAGTCATATCATCGGCAAACAAAACATTGGGATTCTTGCGACGTCATCTACGTAACGCACCTACAAATGTAAAATTATTAGCTTACAAAAGCCTTGTTAGAACTAAACTTGAATATGCTTCCCCAATCTGGAGCCCGCATCAGGCCTATCTTGAAGACGCCCTTGAGTGTATTCAAAACCGTGCCGCTAGGTTTATCAATAATTCTTACTCCCATGACGTCAGCGTATCTTCACTAAAGGCAGAACTTCAACTGCCCCTCCTTTCCCTCCGCCGCCGTATCGCCAGTCTATCGTTATTTCATAAGTTTTTTCACAGCTCGATGCGCATGCCACCTTATTTTGTTCCCCCAGCGTACATCTCTCAACGAACTAATCATCCACTTCAAGTCGGACGCCCACGTGCACGCACCGTTACTTTTTCAACATCATATTTTCCTCGCACAGCAGTTGCCTGGAATGGCCTTTCAGGCGACATTCCTGCCATTACTTGTACTTCTACCTTCACAACCAGTATCACTAATCATCTTTCACTTCAGGACAAACGATTGTTTTCTGCTCAATTTTTATGTACCCACCCCTTATGTAATGCCCCGCAAGGGGTCTTTAAGGAAATAAAATGAAATGAATGAAATGCTCAGCAGTGGAGCTTCCTCCACAGCAACAAAAAAAACCTGCATTAAACCACAGTGCATGCACACACCATCTCTCCAGCACTTTGCTCATGCACTCTGTCATGGCAGAATTTGGTACCAATGCAGTGAACAGCTGTAGGCCACTGTTTTCAACATGTGTTCCATATAAGACTCCATCAGCAACAACGTTTGGTGAAAACTGTTTCATTGCCTTTTTTGTGTTGCCAATGCGTGATTAGACATTCTGAATTACGAGCTTTCCAGTGACATAAAAGAAATGTACATTAAAAAAATTGATTGGCCGTAGGAAATAATCAGGCCCTCGAAATCCACAGAACCGTTAAGGAAAGGTAAGTATTCATTGGTACAAGCACATTCCTAGAGCTGAGTAGCCAGCTGCGCCACACAACTTCTCAAGTCTTTTTTTCTTTTAATGTGCCAGGACCGATGCTGTGTATCATACTGTTGCACAAGTTTTCTTTTATTTTGGTGTACTTAACATTTTAAAACATTAGTAAACTTTTAAAACATATACAGTTTTGCAAATCATGACTGTTGAATTGAACACAACAAAATTAAATTTGGAGTGTTAAATCACTTAATATTTCTAGAGATCGAATCACACTTGTCTAAAACACCCAGCTGACCGCTTCAGTTGCTGTTTTCTGCAGAAACATGTTAATGCTGACGCCGTATGAATATCTAACATGGCATACGGCGTGCTAGGCCTTTGTGCGATAATTTAAGCGTGAACAGAAGCATGTAGCTAAGGTGACGTAGAAGCCGTCACTAACAAGAGCCATGCGCTCCGCTGCTCTGGACAAGTGTGATTTCACCTGTACAGCTGCAGTGTTGGCATTTTTTTCGTGCATGAAATTCTCCATGTACACTTTACATCTGGTCTATTATATAAAAACATGGAAATAAAAAGAATAACAAATAAAACCTTCTAGGTCTGAGTGAGAATAGAAGCCAAGCTGCTTGTGTGGCAAGCAGGCATTCTACCACAAAGCCACGTGCCTGCTCAAAAATAATTTTCATGCTTTACAAATACACGCATCTAGTATACACGCTTCACAATACAATATGTAATATCGCAGTATTTCATGGTACAAATGTGAATTGCTACTGGCCATCAGAACGTGTGATTATCATAATGACTTCATTGTTTAAAGCAGCCACGAAAAACAAAAGCCACAAATGCTACTGGAGTATTCTCTTAGGAGCATGTACTGGGTGCATATCAAGTTTAAAAACATTTCATGCACATAGTTGCTCGTGGTTTAAAGCATACTACACAGTACCTGTATTGCGTGGTCTATCCTGTGTCCCATCTCTGCGCTCTTCGAAGTAACTATGTGTACGTATCAACAAGCTCGCTTAGCCACCATTTAGAAATCAATTACGCAGACTGCAACTATATGCGAAACCCTTACTAGCACAAGCCACTTTAAACATTGATTACGTAGTAATAATCTGCAGTATGAACTTTTCAAGCAATGTTACCCTGCAAAACGTATGCACTAGGTGGTTGGAGTATGCACTAGGATTAGGTTTCGCTGTTGTGTTCTACTCAAACCTTGAGGGTCCCCTAATTTTTTTCACCAAACAATTGTAAGATTCATAGATAGTAATGTTCCACAAGCATGGTATTGTAAATAATCACCCTTTTGGCCTATACTGGAAGAGTGGAGGGGGTATTATTAGGAGTGAATTTACAGGCTGTTAAGAGTGTATGGAAAATTTGACAGATTGTTGTGTAAGTATGCAAGCATTAGGGCATGTGAGTTCATATTAAATACCTGAAAAAGATCACAGGCAGGGGTCCTGATAGGACTCTTGAAAGCATTTCATCCTAGGAAAGAAGTGATTTGTCATCGACACATCTGTTGAAACTAGGAAGGTCAGAAAAGTATTTCAAGCGTAGGTATGTGACGTTTCGTGACAATACATGACTGTGACATTGCACACTTCCATACTGCACATGTGTCTGTTTCCTAACATACTTGCTAGCAAAGCCACAACAGGGTGTTTATCAATTTAAATTTTTTCAAATGTAGTGATTTTTCCAGGTTTTTCACATAGAATAAAAGCAAACTCCATGACCATAATGTCTTCTTGGAAAATGTGCGGTGGAGATAACACTTTAGCAGTAAAAAATTAAAATAAGAGGCACTCATATAAAACAAATGAACACATTTTTACACACACACTCATAACGTTGTGAGTGTATGTGGTAAATATGAAAAAATGTGTGTATCTGGTCAAAACAAAACTTGCGACCCAGGCACTGAGGAAGTTGGCTGTTTGGTTTTTGGAACAACCAGAACACAACCACACAAATAAAATCAACTGTAGCTGCAAGTTTGAAGGAGCCTGCGATAGTCCAACAGTGCAGCCAATGCTGCTATGAAACGTAAAGGTGGCGCTATCTCGTGGCATTCGTATAAAACAAGGATGCAAGAGCCCGGCCAGTTGGCTTACTGGCGCACATTCTAGTTCATTATAATGGCTATAGCCTGCAGGGCATTTAGGATTGGATTAGATTACCTTGATCTAGACTGCTGTATTTACTAATGATTTGCATCCCCGTCTCATTTGTACATGTCTAAAATATACTTTTCAGCAAAAAGGAGTACTTACGTATTTTATGCGACTTTGTCTTGACAAAAACTAACAACAATGTCGGGACAACGAAACTGTACAGCAAAATTTACTTTATCCTTTCTTTCACTCTCTTTTTTTTACACAATGCACACATGCTTGTTGGTGTTTTATTTCTCTGGGTTCTGACACATGGAGCACAATCAAAGTACTCAGACACCTGCAATAAAAGCTACGGTAGCGTTTGAAGCGCTGATGTTTGAATATGGGGTGGAAAAAAGGAACCTGTCAGACCGCAACTGCTTCCCCGACTCCATAGGTAAATAAAAGATGCAGAATCGTGAGTTAGGCAAATTGGTGAGTGTTCACTGTAGAATATTTTACGAAGGAACGGGTTAGAAGCAGTCAGAGAGGGTCACAGCGCTGATTTCACAACTGAAATTTATTTGGAAAAGGAAAGCACATATATAGAAAATATTGACTCATCAAAACTATGCACATGTACACATTTGTTACAACACAGAATGATTCATGTCTTCTCTAAGACCTTATGTTCTTCATCTAGACGAGTGTTACATGAAATACTTATGCACTGGTTGTTAGATCTAATGAAATTGCTTTGGCTACTTCACACATGCGCTAATCAACATGTCAATATTTGATATTTGTTTTCTACAAGTGGGGCACACACAGGGCTGGGTAGTATCGCAATAGTATTTAAGAAATACTTTTGAGTGTCTGTATTGCTGTATCGAGGCACTTTTAAAAATGTATTTGTATCTCAGTAGTGAAATACTTTCACGGTGTATCGCATGTATCGCGATACTATCCAGGACACGGGTATCTTGTTACTTTTTTTTTTTTGTAAATGAGCTGAGACGTGTTGACAATGGGGAAAAAAATTTCTGCTGTGACCTTGGCAGTCCACGGCAAGATATGCACCCACCATTTCTACATTTCTGCTGAGGGCGAAACTGACTCCTACCTTCTTGAAAGCGAGCTAGTTGCTTTGCTACTCGCATCCCATGATGTGTTTGAATGATGGCCTGCTTCAGCGTGACAACAATGTTATACTGCTATATTGAATTCTAGCACAGATATTTTCATTGTGAGGAGTATTGTATACTGAACAATGGGCGCCATTTTTTAAATGTATTTCCTCATGCCAATCGAATGAGTAGTGTTTGTTTTTCTCGTTTTTTTTTTCCACTTTTCTTTTGCGGCACCCATTTGAAAAACTGAAAAACTGGAGCTTATTGCGGAAGCCACAAACTACCCAAAGAGAATTTGGTGCCATGTGCCATCTACGATACTTCTTTCTGCAGAGCATTTCTGAAAAACGCCAGCATGGCCAAACAGCGATTCGAAAAAGGTCTTTTTGAGTTTACTTTCGCATTCCTTGTTTTGTCCGTTCTTAATTCTTTCTGCCTTTTCTAAGATGTTTCTAGAAAACACTACACCTTCAACTGGAAGTTCGTTTGTTTATAGTTCCAGCACTTCGCTTGAACTATGCTCCTTCTAGCATAACTAATAGTGTTGCTGTTGAGTTCCGGATTTCAGTGTACAATGCGTGTGACTGATGCTCTCATATGGCATAGTTTTTTATTGCGATTGATATCTGTTAATATGTGGTTATTAACAATTATGTGCAGTGTAAGCATCCTTTGTAATGCCTTAATGACGCTCGGAAAATGCCGAAAATATAATAAATCAATTTCATTTGCAAGTTTCAATGTGCTGCACATAACAAATGTTTGTATGGAGTATAACTATCCCCGACATAGACAAAAGTATTTTAGTATATGTATTCTGGAATACTTTTTTGTCTTTTTCCAAATGTATCTCTGAAATATCCTGTCACATGAATTACAAATTTATCTCAGTATCTGTATTTTATGCTTCCAAACTACACATTTCGATATCTGTATTCCAGAATACTTTTTCGGGCATCTCTGCCCAGCTCTGAGCACAAATCCACATGTCCTACAATGAGCTGCCAAATTAGACGTGATTTTAGCATCTGATAGCATTAACCCATGCTCTCTTAAGCACACGCTTATGTAATGCCCCATTTCACCTAAATATTCGCAGCTGCAAGACAGTGGAAACCCATAAACTACGCCAGTAGTGCAAGGAGCATATCTGTGGACATGACTGGAGACACATTTGTTCCCTTTCCCTGGCTGCTGACACAATGCTCTATCCACCAAAGTACACACATTATGCACTTTATTACGTGCTGAGAATGACATGTTTATGCAAAAACGAGCACCAACATTTTTCAAACCATGTGCTATCCTGTGTATGTATAGGATAACTGCCTGCCTCTTTTTCTTGCTAATTTCTAGTGCACTTGAATCACAATGATAAGACTTCTCGATCTTTAAAATAAGTTTTTCCGACAAGGAGCAAATCACGTCACCCAGAAAGCCAGAATTTGCAAGGCGAGCAACTTGTGCATCAAATGCATGCGCCATAAGGTGCTCGCGTAACTTCTGAAGAGCGGCACCCAGCACAGTTGATGCAATGGCTCCCTGTATGGTTTTGAGTGGCCAGAATTAAAATTTAGAATTGGCTTTATGAATCTAGGTTGGTATTGCTATATATGTGATCTTTGATGAAAGCCTGTCTTAAATCAAGAAACTGTAGCTCATCAATTTTTTGAAACTCCAAAGTGAAACGCTGACATTTCGTTTTCCTTAACATCTTTCTTTATATTAGCAATCAGTAAAGAGCAATTGTTAATGTCCAGTAGAACGAAGAAGTCATGGACATATCAAACAGCGTGTGATGATAACCAATTCAAATGCTTTTGCAGCTGCCCGTCTACATACCCAAGAAAAATATAACTAATTACAGGTATATTCATGATTCAATGCAGATACCAGATTTTTGGACAAAATTGTTTCCCTTCCAAGACACAACGGTAGAATTTAGGTGGCCTGCATGAGCTCTAAAAACGACGCAACAGCGATGCCACACTGGCACTGAAACAACAACTCATCATTATCTTCTCTCATGCACTGCTTTATACAATTCAAATCTTCACATTGGGGCAAACAATAATATAAATCTTTTACGTCTATACCGAATGCATTACGGCACAAAGAAGGTTGTTCACTTAGTGATAAGATGATAGATTCTGAGTTAGAAATTCTTAGCGGATCACAAGTCTTCAAACGCTCCGAATTTCTTTGAATAAACTCTGAAACATTTATTTACCAAGTGTCTTTTTCTGAAACAACAGCTATTAGTGGCAACATGAATCTTCACTGAAATAAAAACTGATAGTTTTTACCTTTTTGCTTTTTTCACACTTGCCGCTACATGTTCCTGATTAAGCGTTAGTAACAGGGCATAAACTTATTCGTTCAGTCACCCGCTTTGTGCATCAACACTTTTTTTTATTAATATATACCCTAAAGGCCCATTCAGGCATTACGCAAGGGGTTTTAGTTATATAATAAATTTGCAAATAAGAACATTGCCATTATAAAATTAAAGTGGTAAACAATGTAAAATACAGTTCCATAGACAAAGATGCAAAAGGAAAAAAAAAATTGTGGCAGGAATGAAAACTCAATAAGAGAGACACAGCTATAGTGCAAAAAATATATATATACAGAAAATTGCCATGAAAAAAATTGCCCCCTATCTGCATATTTGACCAAAAATGTCGTCGAAAGACTATTGTATTTCGCCTGAAAAGAGTGAATAGACAGAAATATTCATTTGATGTTTTGCACGAGAAAACTGGTGAACGGGATCCTGGAGGTGTTGCATGAGACATGAGTACCATCTGGCGGTAATTTAAGAAAACGAAAGGATGGCCTTTGTTATAGCGAGCACGCAGCATGCAGCATGCGTGCAATCTTGGAGGCCATATTTTGTAGATTTCGAGACAGGTAGCAGCACAGTATCGTCTTAGCAAAGCGTAGGAGACTCGCCTTTTTATGCGAAGCGTCGCATTGTCAGCTGCAGCGCTTAGAATTACTTATTTATACCTTTTCTAGTATAAATAAACACAGCGCACAGTATCGACGTGTTGATATTGTGCCTCAAATATGCTCAATATTTGCTTTTTATTGACAATCGTACAAGTATGAACGCAGAAACTTGAGCAATACTGGTGGATGCTGTGGATGTGGTCGTACTTGAGCCTTTTTGCTGACAGACCAAAATTTTTGCATTGGAGTATCCCAAGCAAGACTATAATCTTTAAGCAGGAAATATATTTACAATGAAAGAAGAGTAAAAATAAGCACATACATGCACTTACAAACTCACACAGATAGGTAAGTCATATGTCCAAGAAAATATTGAATTGGTTTACAATGGTGGCACGATCAATGAATCAAGCGATGTCGCTTGGCAGTGTGTTCCAGTGATGTGTGCTTCGAAGTAATGGTGAGTGTTGATACATAATTGTGCGTGCCAAAAAAGGGTGTATTTTGAATTGGTGATCAATATGTTTCAAAATATTATGAGGTGTGTTTGTACAAGCTTCATGAAGGCACATTTACTATGATGAAATGTACGAAAATGCAACAACAGTGACGACAGTCTGCGTTTTTCAAGAAGGGGTAATGAAAGTAAGTGCGTAATATCTGTAGTGCTGCAGTTGCGAGAATACCACTTGGTGATAAATCCTGCTGCTTCATTTTATTTTAATTCTAGTTAATCGATGAGACATGATTGATGTGGTTTCTAGATGATGGATGCATATTCTATCTTTGAACGGACAAGTGTAGTGTATGCTAGCATTTTAGAGGTATAGTTCACCAAGTAAAGGTTTCTTTGAATAAATCCAAGTGCTTTTGACCCCTCACTAGTTATGATATTGATGCGCTTATTCTAAGGCAGGTCAGAGGATAAATGAATTCCAAGATACTTAAATAGGGATACTTTTTTAATGGGGAGAGCTTGAATTTCATATTGACTCATTTCTGTTTTATGTGCTCTTGTAAACGTCATGGCCTTCGTTTTGGAAGTGTTAATTTGCCATGGTGACACCAAAATGCGAGTTTATTAGGGTCCAACTATAATGACTCGTTAGCTTGGGTACTGTCAATTTTTCTAGAAATTATGTAGTTGTATGTAAATAATTTGATAGTAGATGACAAACCATGTCCAATGTCGTTGATGTAAATGAGAAACAAAACTGGTCCCATGATTGATCCCTGGGGAACACCATACTTTGCATGTGAAAGTGAAGATGCATGTCCATCCACATAAATTGATTGGCTGCAGTTGCTCAGAAAATGATTTATTCAGCCTTTTTCCAAACCAGTGGCTACCTTATCATTATACATAGAGCCATCTAGAGTTTAAAAGAAGCCTTCTTTGTCAGCAACCAAAACATGCAACATGCAAACATGCAAGTGCATAGCAGAGGACGTTTGCAGCTGCATCGCCAATAATAATAATAATAGCAATAATATTATACAAGGCAAGACATAGCCCACCAAACCTCTTGTGATGGCAGTTCTAACATAAGCACCAAACTAAAAGGCCTTCAAGCCAAGCCAAATTTGTGGCCACGAAAAATATGCACCAATTTACCGATGTGAGAAATGCTGTGCTTGGAAAGTCAGATATGATATGTGATATGTAGAAGGAACATACATCAAAATAGTGCATGTACCAAAGTGGAAGCTAAGGAATGCTTTAGTCAATGGGAAGAATAAGCTGCCGAGCGAACTTTCTGTAGTCTTCTTTACACTGTAATCTGCCACGAGTGTGACAACATGTCAGTCTATGAGACCTGTGATTTCAATGAAAGAGTTAAACAACACAACAGTTCAAAATATACGTACGGCATACATCCACGAATAGCATAACACACGGTGTTCATGATCGGGCAAGTCGTTACCACATTGCTTATAGACAGTATTACAGAACGAGACCACGTATCCATGCGCAGAGGCTGTTCTCGCGAATGCATAAGGCTCCCGGCCAAGCTAAGACCACGGATAAATAACTACCGCACGGTAAAGATCCTCACAAGTTAGCGAGGAACCTTAGACCTTTCGTTCCCACCACCTAAACGTCCCCAAAAAAATGTCCAACACGGCGATTCTATCGCCGTCTATTTATACGTTTTAAGCCAAGTCAAGCCGGTTTTAAGCGGCTATTGGGTGAATCGAACACTTTTGCCTCGAAAGGGTTCGTGCCACCCGGTGGCAGCAGACGCGGCCATCTGGTATACGCAGAAAAATGAAAAATACAAGGTTATTGTAACGACAGTGTTGACATCTTGTGACACTTCGTGCAACCGCAGTCAAGAAGAAGTTAGCCCACGCGTAATGTTTTGAAAATGAATAAAAAGGTTACTCATTTGTAGTATTATCGCTGTGCAGTTTTTGCACCAGATGTACAATAAACAATGTTTCTGCAATAACAAAGTTGTAGTTCTCTGTTTCACTATGGCCGCGCCAGATGGCGCCACCTATTCAGTTGATAGGTAGGAAGTCTGTGACAACGCAACAACATATTCTAGATGAAGGAGGAAATCAATTGGAAGGGTACGAAGCGCTAGGTTACATCCAAAAGGTAACAGCCGATTCGTTTCAAAAGAGCGTCCAGGGGATCTCCCCGGTGAGTAAAAGTGTGGCGGAGAAAGCAACAGAGGAAGAGCTAGTACTAGATAATTTCAACTGGAAAAAGGCCGAAGGAAAAATTCCAAAGCGCACTGCCGCGGGTTTAGATGGGATTCCCGTTAGCCTCATTAACGAACTAGGACATAACACTAAAGAAGCATTGTTAAAAGCAGTAGAAAAAAGCTTAAAGGACGGACAAATACCGGACAGTTGGCGACAAAGTAGAATGAACTTAATCTATAAAGGCAAGGGAGAAAAGGACAAGATTCGCTCGTATAGACCACTAACCATTACATCGGTACTATACAGGTTGGCGATGCAAGCAGTAAAAATGAAAATAGAAACATGGGCCGAACATAACGATATTTTGGGAGAACTTCAGAACGGATTTCGAGTCGACAGGCGGTTAGACGATAACCTGTTTGTTCTCACTCAGTGTATAGAAATATCTAAAATAGAGAATAGGCCCTTGTACGTGGCTTTTCTAGACATCACTGGGGCATACGACAACGTTAATCAGGAAATTTTGTGGGATATATTGAAAGGAATGGGCATGGGCGACGACTGTATACAGCTTTTGAGGGAGATATACCGAGAAAATACAGTTTGCATAGAGTGGGAAGGAATGCGTAGCAAAGAGAACGTTGAGGTTAGCAGGGGTCTGAGACAGGGATGTCCTTTGTCCCCACTGTTATTCATGCTGTACATGGTGAGTATGGAAAAAGCGCTAGAAGGTAGCAACATTGGTTTTAATCTGTCACACAAACAGGGCGGCATGATGATTGAGCAGAAGCTTCCAGGTTTATTTTATGCGGACGATATCGTCTTATTTGCGGACAGTCGAGATGATATACAGTAGCTGGCGAATATATGCGGAAGGGAAGGTGAAGCTCTATGGACTAGGATTCAGTGTAACGAAGTGTGGTTTGATGGTATTCAATGATCCCTGTGATCAGACGGTGTTCATACAAGGCCAAGAAATACCGAGGGTAAGTGAATACAAGTACCTTGGAGTATGGGTAAATGAGAGTGATAGATACATGGAGGTACAGGAAAAAGCCTCGGCAGCAAAAGGAAAGAGGAATGCGGCAATAATGAAGCACAGAGCGTTGTGGGGATACAATAGGTATGAGGTGCTTCGAGGTCTGTGGAAGGGTGTAATGGTTCCAGGGCTTACTTTTGGGAACTCAGTGGTGTGCATGAGGGCAGAGGTGCAATCGGGAATGGATGTAAATCAAAGGACTGTGGGACGCCTCGCGTTGGGTGCTCACGGGAAGACGACAAACGAGGCTGTAAAGGGCGATATGGGGTGGGCAGGTTTTGAGGCGAGGGAAGCGCAGAGCAAAATAAGGTTCGAGGAAAGGCTAAGAAATATGAAGGAGAGTAGATGGGCAGAGAAGGTGTTCCGTTATTTGTATAGGAAGAGCGTGGACACACAGTGGAGAAAAAGAACTAGAAGACTCACTAGTAAATATACGGCTGGTATTGTGAGCCATATGTCAACAAAGAGCGTTAAGGGAAAAGTCAGGGAGGCGGAGAGGATTTACTGGATGGCAGCTATGGAGAAAAAACCGGCTCTGAGTAACTACCGAAAGGGCAAAAATGAAATAAGGAGGGAGGCA